CTAATACGAGATAGTGATTCATAACTCCCTCCCATCCCACCATTTGCAAACTCTGAGTCATCTTTGAAGATGCTATTTAAATTATGATGAAGACGTATAATTATGTTAAAGTAGTATGTTTTAAGCCTGCCTTAGAACCTCTACGAAAATGTAGCGTAGAAGAGCTGTCCGTTCTGCAACCAATGATATTTCAAAATTTTTGTTAGGCAGTGTATGAATGTCAAAAGAAGTAGGATGAGAGAAAAGGTCGGGAGTAAGCTTAAATATATATATATATATATCAAATGCTTAGGTGGCATAGCGTCTGGCTCGGTTTGCTGGAAGACGTTCGATTCGAATCCGGCCGGATCGAAGGAATTATGTACGATCTTTGTATTAATAATAACAAACTAATGAAGTAATTTCACAAAATAATAATTGAATATCAATGCAATACTTTAATTACAGATAATAGTGACATCTCTAGCCAGGGCTGGTAGCTGTAAAGTTACCTAACTGTCAAACTTTTACAACAGAATAAAAAAAATAGTCAAAGCAACAAAGTACGAAGTATGTTATTTTTTTCCTTTTTATGTAGTAACTCTATGCAGTCAACGTTATAGCCAATTTTAAAAGATATTTACTTAAAATTTCTTCATTATGCAAAACAATATTGTCACGTAATATTTATTATTGAAAAGGCAATACACTAAAGAATACACTGAAATAAGATATGTGAAACAGACTTTTGGGCACTTCCATCAGCTGAGATTCCAATGTCGACAGAAACAATTAAATACTCACTACACCACATAAATTGATATGATTTATAAATAAACCACAAGTATTGCTTACACTATGACCATGTGTATTAAAAAAATATACTTTCTTTTCCATTACTCGGAACTTAAAATTCACATGTTTCACAAAGTTTTTTCACAAATGTCGTTTTTGATTGTATAGCCGAGTTCTCTACGCGTGTCATAAATTAAAAATAACTTAGTTACTGCCTATTGTTTCATTGTTTTGGAATGACCTTGTGCTGCATTAAACGTGCTTAAATTATATCCCGAGAAATATAAAAAGGCACTGTACCAAATAATCAGATTAACCACCAAGCTGAGTTCGGGCACAAAGCAACATTCACACCGTGAAATTAAGCACTGCGATCACCCCTAATTCTTGTCTCAACTTACCGTGACGAGTGCTTTCTTAACGCATAAGAGTGGTTACACACGCGCAATTTTACATTTTACATCGCTACAGTTGGGTTTAATAAACGATTGCATCGATCCAATCGCGCGTTTGTATCGACATAATCGCGCGTTTGCATCGATGCAGTTGCGCGCTTTATAATAAAAATGCCCGTAAAATCTGTTTTTAATTGTACTTAAATATAATATATATATATATATTATTTGGATTTTTTAAGTCGTAGGTAGCTAAAGTCGATTATCTGTAGCATTGTAAAGAAGATTCAAGCCCAACAATGACACTTGGTAAAGCTTGCAAGTAGATGGGATGTCTCTCTCCCTCTGATTGAATGAATATTCTGGTAATAATAAAAAAAAAATATTTCGTTGTAAGCGACATGCCTGTCCAAAGCAGCTGCAGTGCTACTCAGAGCTTTAAATCGCATAGATCTGAGGGACACTGCTACTGCGCCTGTCGCCCTGAGACATAAATTGACAGTCCCATGTGCTTGCATGAATGTGTAATTTCACTAGTGCCTTGCCGTTAAAAACCGGAACGTAGTAATGCTCACATTACTGCTTGGCGGCAGGAATATGTAAGGTGGCAGTACTTCCCTGGACGAACTCTTTCACAAGGAGCTTTCCTGCTACTAAGACGATTGACGACCTGATATACGAGCACTGAACGATGTTTACGGGTTTTTTTAGCTTTTGATTATGTCACCTGTTGTGAATACGTGACCGGACCCAAAAATGGTTTAATAAAAATGTTATAATATAAGCTCGGTTCCCGACCCTCTGCCGTTCTCTTTCCACCAGTTGCACAATTGCCCAGTGGTTGAAATATTCATGTAGCCTATTTATAATTTAAAATACTCTTACGTTTCGTTTCTATGTTACTCTACTATAGAGGTATAGTAGCAGTAGAGCTGCTTGTGAAAGAGATCGTCCAGGGAAGTACTGCCACCTTACCTATTTCTGCCGCCAAACAGTAATGTGAACATTACTGCGTTCCGGTAAGGGTGCTTGTAAAATTACACATTTATGCAAGCACATGGGACTTGTTAACTTAAGTCTCAGTGTGTCGGACGCGGCAGTAGTGCCCTTCAGATCTTTGCGATATGAAGCCTGAATGGCACTGCAGCTGGTATGGACAAGCGTTCGCTTACCATCAGACTTGCACGACTTGTTTGTCTTGTCAATTGGTATTATAATAAAAACTCATACAGACTGGAGTCAAAAGATGTATTAACAACGGATATGAATTACATGAACAAACCATAGAATATGCTCGTGAGCCGTAAAATTACAACTTACCCACATCAGTTTCAATTTAAAGGATCAAAGTAGAGATCAAAGGTACTGTAACCTCAGCCGACTATTACGAATCAATCACGCCTCGGAAAGTTTCCCACTCATGCCACGATCCTTGCTAACCACATGTTTGAGTTAAAATGAATAGACACTGAAAACTTACTAGTTATTGATGAAGTTGTATACATGGTAAAAATATGAGTAAAATTGCAATAATATTTTTTATTGTTCATCGTGAAATTTCACTTTCTCAATTTTCTATTTTTTTGCTATCGATCCTAGCCTTTAAGTAAATTTAAATTTAAACTTAACGTTAGAGACGGCCTTCTTTTAATGACAATGTTATTTTTGAAATCTGTCCTATTGTATTCACGGAAGAGCGCTGATGCCTGAAATACAGACAACTAATTATCTATTTCAAACACAGATGCTTTGCCCTAAATGCAATGTTGCAAGCTCAATACTTTTAACGTCGAATTTGTCAGTAAAAAATATGAAATAAATAAATTTTGTTGTTGTGATTATTTTACATCCAGTATTTCACTTACTGATCAAGTCTGTTTGCTCCGCATTCTGCAGTTCTTTGGTCACATTGCACGCAGAAGCGCTGATAGTCTCGAGATTGTTAAGGGCAGAATTGACGGCAAACCACCTAGAGGTCGAAGTTTGAAACGATGGTGTCACCAGGTGGCTAAAAGCCTGGTAGTACCAGTGAGCGTCGCATGCCACCTAGCCAAAGACAGAGTGCAGTGGAGAATAACGATTGACGGTGCACTTGATCAAAGTCACGATCCTAAGCAGTGAGGGACCGACGCAGGAGGAGGATTTCACATACTTTATTAAATGACATTTTGGAAAAGAACGTAAAACAGACTTCATAAACAGTTAAACTGTACTAGGCGGTATTCCGTGGAAAATTAAAATTGTGCCAAAAGCAAACACACCAACTTACCACAGTCGAAAACTTTTTAATTTAAATGTAAAACTTAATTGTGACGTATAAAATCACTGTCTCACAATTTCCACACCCAGAGCTTAGCAATCCCACCAGTTATAGAATAAGAAAATAAGCACAAGCATTGCTCATTACAACCATTTACTATTGATCAAAACGTCAGAATGTGGTCGGAATTTAAAATGTATGCCCGTGGGTAGAATCCATACAATGCTGCCCCAGAATCTGCCCCCAATGTATGGGAAACTAGGGCTTTCTATAGGAGTATGCGACGACATTTAATTTACCATTGTAATGAGATAAAATAATGAAACAATTGTCTTATGACGAGTGTTTAAATGTTTGTTGCAGTGTTTTGTTTCTTTCTATTGTGGTAGTAAGTGGATTGTGATACTTTCCTAAGATACGTCATTGTACTTTAAATTTGTTGAGATAACAATTGTTTGATATTATTTGTTACTCAAGTCCATGAGTCTACCAGCCAACGAGATGTTTAGTTATATTTGTCCAGTGGCGTAGTGTTGATTTCTGTCTCCTGGCGCCTAACTTAAATTTGTTGCCCTCTCTATTTTCACGATTACAAAAGGAATTCGTTCGGGCAGGCTCGGTTCGATTGTGTTTCTGTGTTAGCCTGCCGTGTCGCCACCTTTGTGCTGTTCAGGATATTATTTTCTCAAATATAAAAGAAAATAATGTTGACTAATTAGGGCTCGCCGCCATCCCATTGCTCTGCTGCCCGGGGCTGTGGCCCCATTTGCACCCCCCACGCTACGCCACTTTATTTGCCCGTACCTATGGTTCCTATTGCAAAATTACTCTGTGACATTGTGGATGTAAAGTTAATAATCTCATTAATAAATGTATGTCCTAATGGTTTGCCTGCCGCCCTGCAAGCAGAAATCGTGCGTTCGAATCCGGGCTGGCACCTTTGAGTTTTCGGTATTTATGTGCGAAATTTAAATTCATTCATTCATCAAAATTTACCGTTAGCTTCTCGGTGAAGGAAAATATCGTGATGAAGAAGAAGGTACCAATCTTCGGAAAACATGTGAAGTCCCCAACCCGCACCGGGTCATCGTGGCGGGCTATGGCCTAAAAGCTTCTCTCGAGAGGAGACCCGTGCCCGGCAGTGGGACATATAAATGGGTTGATGATGACGATGAATGTAATTTTCCAGAGGTTATACTTAGTCTAGTTCATATAATGTGTTTACTCACGCTTAGTTAGTCTTCAATAAATTGCTCAATGACCTGCTCGTTTCATGGTACTATTTTAGGTATTTGACAGAGAAAAAAATATTTTTTTTATAAACGTAAAATGTTCAAGTCACAAGTAACATACTTTTACTTTCATCAAATGTAAACCGAGAATACTTTTCCATATGAAACTAAATACAAATTATACTAACACATTGAGAAGATGCCACATTTAAATACAACTGAAACAATATTTACATTCTATCATCTCTGTACAAACTTTCCCTCGGCTAAGTAGCATAAGTTTACAAGTCAAATATTTGTACTTTCTTCAGATATTGTATTTATATTCTTTGTCCACAGAAGATGCGGCCGCGTCGGGGTTTGGTTATAGGCGTCCTACTCATATTACACATGGTGAGATCTGAATTTCTACAATTATCTATGACACTTTCACAGTACAACATAATGTTTGTGCAGAACAACACGTACACAGATAGTATATTTAGACTTATGAAGTTCTGTGAACTTTCTGTGAAAGTTTTCACCTGGAGGTTGGTCCCTCCTTGCTACAAAATGGTATATCTTATTGTACAACCTGAATATTTTAAAGTTAGAATGATCGGATACTTTCTATGCGAGGCTGCACCATTATTGTTCACAACTTCATCGTCAGGTGAGATAATGGCAAACACTATGCAACATTATTTTTTAAATTGTTAGAACTACTGAAACTTATGGCCTATGAAAGTATAGGCCAAAAAGTGTAGTTTTTTTTCCACATAAATTCATACGGTGTGATTAGTGACGCCCTTTTTAATGCTGATCATTTATTATTGGAATATAAAATTAAAATTGCATAAAGTTCACATGAAATATTGTTTTGATTTTATTGCAAGAGCTCTTATCTGTCGAACAATATAATATGTAACAATATAATCAAAGTTGATTCTTTTGCTGTTATATTTTGATTTGTATCTACAGCGACACACTAACTAAATTTAAGTGCTGGGAGTAGGCCAATAATTTATCGATGAAGCATGAAAACCTATCTCGTTAAATCTATTTCGCGCACGACTACTCAGACCATACGAATAAATTTCTTGCGGTAATAACGAGCTACGCAAAAACAAAATGTACCAGTACAAACTGGTACATTTTGTTTTTGCGTTTAAATTCTTACTCCACATAAATTGCTTTAATTTTAACCCCTCTGACCTGACACTCAGTTTAAAACAGGATTCGAAATTATCAGGATATATTTATTTTCTTTGATAATTAGCACGAATAATTATCCGATATATACATATATATATTATCCTTGCTTGCATAGTTTTGTTTCTTTAATTTATGACTAAAATAACAAACAATGAGAATACTAAATAAACACGAAGAAAAGTCTTTGAAAAAATTATTTGATTTGATTTTTTTTTTTTTGACATTTGTTACGTTTGTATATCTCTGATAAAACACGTGTCACGAGATTGTTAGCGATAGCGTTTTGTTGTTCCAAATTAATTTTCTAAATACGAAGGTTACTACCAAGTTATATGTACCATTAATAATTATCATGATAATTATTACTTCAGACTCTGGTTTAAAATGATAGACATTGATATACTGTATGAGTGAAATGGTTTTAAAGGACCCAATTGTTCGTTAATCAAGACCGCAAGGAAGAAATTCACGTCATCAAAAAATTATATTATACGCATGACGCATTGTCAACAAAATTTTCCATTTAAGCGGTATCATTAAGATTTTATGGCGTAATCTATTTTTTAAATTGTGAATTGTAACCTTAAAAATTATTTCATTTTCGAAGAATTCCAATCGATAAGCTAAAATCTAAATAACAAAACTATTTAAAGTATTATTCATCGCTTACGTTCTCAAGGAAGAATTTATTTACTCCGGACATCAAACAAGATTTGCTGGTCCAATCAATGGCACTAGTCTAATTAAATCATAAACAATATAATATGCTCTATTGGACGCAGCATTTGAAGAAAGAATTATCTTTCATGTACACGTAATTAATAGACCATGAATATTGCGTTTTAAGTACAAGCCTCCGTTGGACCGTACGAAAATACATGTATCAAGATTTGTCACAAAAAACTTAACATTACATGATTTATTGTCTTTGTAATGTTTGTGCGCTTACTAGAATTGCGATTCCCAAGTTTTTGCTATTAATTACGATGTCTCGTTAGTGTGAATTTGTATTCTCGAAAAAAAAACAGATTCGATACAGAATTTTTAATAAATGCTTTCATATTTGAGTAGCAGTAAAGCTCCTTGTGAAAGAGTTCGTCTATGGAAGTACCATAGAAGAACCTGCCACCTATTTCTGTCGCCAAGCAGTATTGGGGGCATTACTGTGTTCCAGTTTTAAAATGTAAGGGTGCTGGTGAAATTACAGGCACGTGGGACTTGACAATTTATGTCTCAGGGTGACGGGTGCAGTGGCAGTGCCCCTCAGATCTTTGTGGCTTAAAGTTCTGAGTGGTACTCCAACTGTTATGGACAGGTGCACGACTTGTTCGTCCTGTCACTGGGTATCACAAAAAATATATTAAATTACTAAGACGAATTAATTAGTTTCTGACTGTGTTCTAGAAGAATAAAATATTGAAAAGCTGCTTAAAACAATCTTATGTGTACCTATATTTCTGAAATCTTAAATAAAAAAACGCTAGACAATGTTTAAGAAAGAAAAAGCTGTCCTTTTTGATGCTCTACGTTCTTTGCCGCACTGAAAGGAACATTAATCCTTTCATAAAATGATAGATAGTAGAACTCAAAGAATTGAGCCCATATTCTTTACAAGGATAAAGGACAGTGCGCAGAAATTTATTTCAGTCCCGAGAATAAAGCTTTACAATTTATGAAATGTACGAGACAACTGCCCCTATTTAACAGATTGTTTCGAAGATAACTTTGCCTTTGACCTTTTGCGTATACCAGTTTTAAGTGAAAATAATTTGCACCCAAAAATGGACTTTTCCGTCTCTGTACCTATTAAAAATTACAGACTTGCTTTACGACGACGCCTTACATTTTTAATGTTTTAAGGCAACGTTGACTGTTCATTACATGAATGTGTACCTTTTTGTACCAAAATGGACGTGGTGGCCGTTTTACTCCTTTTTTGAACATTTTTCTTAAACAGTATTTTAAAAACGCAGTATATGTGAAGAGTATTTAAGTACAGTCAACAAACAGCATATCAAGCGATTCACTTTTACACAAATTCGTACATTACGATATAATGGTGCATTTATTACTAGTGTTGGGTAATTGTTCGAAAAATTTTTAATTTTTATTAGTAAGTCAATGATTTTTATAGAAAAAAACACAAACGTAGGAGAAAAATTTGAAAATATTCAGATTAAAAAAAAAATGTTATATATATCATATTTATTACAAATAAATTAGAGAATACATTATAAGAGTATTTTTCATGGTATACAAACCGGCATACAAAGTCGCCAGCTTATTGGAAAGTAGTTACTACCGTCTATATATGCCTATAGACATTTTCAACGTTAAGAAAGTATCTTTAATATCGCAAAAGCATTGCTGACTGCGGTAGATAAAATCTCAACTCCGCGTCGTATGCCTGTGATTCTTCATGACTCTTCTTACCCTTCAATCCGAATCATAACAGTGCTTTGCGGTTAAAATAGATAGGACCGTGGTACATACGTCAGGTCAACTGTGAACTTCAATACTGAACTAAATGGGGTTCATGTTTTGCAGGGCCAAGAGCTCCTTAAACATAACACTAAAGCTTTAAATTTAATTGTATACCGCTTATGATAAGAACCGAAGTGCAAAATGTCAAGCTTCTGTTCTTGATTGTACCAGACTAAATACAATTCCATTTATCTCTACCACTAGTGAAAAAATAAAAATAAAGATTTCAGTTACTTGTTTTAACAGCATACATACTGTTCTGAGAAAACAAGACAGTCTTAACGCTTTTGACCGAGAGGTTTTGATACAGTTTGTGGAGTTTGTTTTTGTTATCTAAATGCAAACTCCATCAGTTCAATGAATTTCCAACTTTATCAACTTACAGTGATTACAAACAAACCGAGACTGAAATACGTATGAAACGAAAAATAACAATTTCGTATAATTAAAAATCAACATTGAAACGAGTCAGTTAAGACAAATTGACACATTAAAATTACAGTCTCATAATATTGGTTATTAAGATGTCAAAATGGGTATATAACTTTGTGTCACGTTGTTTGCTTATTGTCGTAATTAAACCCAAATAAGTTGTTTAAAAATTGGAAAGTGCCTTCGGGGAATGTAATTTTAATAAAAAATAATCAAATAAATGTTAACATCACACACATTGCTCTGATCCCAAAGTAACTAAAGCACTTGTGTTATGGAGATTGGAAACAACGACGGTACCACAAACACCCAGATCCGAGACAATATACAAAAGGTAGTTTTCTACACTGATCCTGCCGGCGATCGAACCCGGGACCTCAGAAATGGCGACACCATAGAAACCGGTGTGCAAGCCACTCGACTACGGAGGTCGTCAAAATGTTGTTCGTATTGTTTTATATCGATTTATGTTTTCTTCGACATTTTCTTAAGTTTGTTTAAAAGTAATTTTGACTGTTCACCTAGTTCTAGATCTTTATAACGATAATCTCTTTGAGTCATGAATAAAAAATTACATGTCAGGAATTTTACATTTACTTTTTACACTAAAAAAACATTGGTTATTGAACAATAAGCAATATTTTTTTAGTTTATTGTCTCACACGCCGATTCCAAGCAAATTTCAGTTGCAACGAAAGTAGCAAAGATGAATATGCAATTCGGTAGCGCTAGTTGCAAATTCGAAATAAAAAATAAAAATGTAAACTAAATAATACGCAAACCGTATCGGAGCAAGTAGACCGCCTCGCATGAAAGTTAATGATTTTTAATCGACACAATCTCGCCATCTATGGCACATCACTAGCGCCGCTAAGAAACCACCATGTCGTTTGTCTCTGTGCGTGTTTTCACAATATCGCCACATAATCGTTACCATTTACTTTATTGGACGGTATCAACATTTCTAACTAGCAATGCTAAGTAGGTATTTAAGTTTCATTTTAAAATAGCATATTTGTTGAAATTTTGAAAATTGATATACAGATGCCATGGTTGAACGATTTTAGGTATGTTTTTCGAAAATCAGAGCTTTAAATCGCAAAGATCTGAGGGGCACTACCACTGTGCCCGTCACGCTGAGACATAAGTTGACAAGTCCCATGTGCCTGTAATTTCGCCAGGGTGCTGGCGAAATTACATTACCATTCAAAACCGGAACACAGTACTACTGTTTGGCGGCAGAAATAGGTAAGCCACAGTACATCCCTGGACAAACTCTTTCA